AAAAAGCTTTTGAATTGTATCAAAAGGTTGCTGAACAAGGAGATAACATTGCACAGTATAAGCTTGCTGAGTGTTGTTATCATGGAGTTGGAATAGAAAAAGATGAACAAAAAGCAGTTAAATGTTATGAAAAATCAATCAAACAAGCACATATGTCAGTGCATTTTGACCATGGAGCACACTATAGTAATATCACTGAATCTAGTAATAGACACATCCAAGTTATAATTCACTTTTATCAAAATGCAGCTGATCAAGGCAATGCTTATGTACAATACATCCTTGGCTACTATTATGAAAATGGAGTTGGAGTTAGGAGTGCAGTCAGATATCAAAAGGCAATTGAACTGTATGAAAAAGCAGCTGAACAGGGATATGCTAAAGCACACAACAAGATATATACCTTGTATGAGAATGGGTTAGAAACAAAGAAGAAAATTAGAGAAAGAAGTGAGTTTTATAAGAGTGCTAATATATTAATATATGATTAGTATTAGCACTTTACACTTGGTATTGGGGTTAGGATAACAATATAAATAATGGACACAACAATTAACTGGAAGTAAATTATATATCAAATAGTAATAGTTTACATGCATCTTATTGATAGGTTTTTTTTGGTTATTTATTTTAAGTATTTATATTAATATTAGTAACACATGGCTATATTTATATTATTACAGAAATTAGTTAACCACGTGTATTAAATATTTAATATTGACAATTGGGATGCATTCCGTACCAAAGAATCTGAATATTAATATCTGTCGACTCTATCAATATCTGACTGATTATATTATCGCCTGCGGCGGAGGCGTTACCGCATTATAATTAGCTGAGAATAAAATTTTTATTATACTAAATACCATTATTATTATCGAAGTTTTTAAAATTATAGAAAAACCCCTGATTTTCATACATTTTTTTTAGTTAACTGAATAATGACAAATTTTTATTATAAATGTTGCAAATACTGTATATTAATAAAACCACTTGTTCTTGAATGTGTCCATTTAATATACAGTAACATAATCGTTGCATGTATTAGTATGCAAGAGTAAAAGGTCTTGACTCCCGAGGAACCGAAACAGTGTTAAGCAAAACAAAATTATACCTTCATATAACGAGAAAATGTAATTCACTCTCGTGATCCACTATAATACTTGTAAGGTTAGCTTTATTTGGCTACGGGCCAAACGAAGCTAACTTTATTAGATATGGCTAAAATATTAAAGCTACTTGATTCGCTAAAGATCTCTCACGTTACACATTTAAGCATATGTCGGTTATGCAATCGACATGCATCCTAAAAAAATGCAACTTACCTATCGACTTTACCATGTTCCGCATTCCCAAGCCCAAGAGGTTGCAAGTCCGGACTCTTTGCACCGCAAGAACGAGATTCTCGCTACCCACTTTACCCAGACATTTTCAAACGGCTGTCAGGCACACAGATCGTGAGAATTATTTAAAGTCGCGTATCAATGCAGCAGTTTCCAGTCGATATATGATCTTACGCCGTCATGCCTCGACGGCAGAAACATCGTCCGATAATGTCTTGCAACCATCCAGAAAACTCAATCGAATGATTCTCATTAGTGCCGTTACGATTATCGGCGGGATAACCCTGGCGGTCCTAGACTATAAGCACACTGAAAATGAGGCTGCTGCTCACGAGCGAAGGGAATTGGAGAGTTCACTGCCGACCGGAGGGCCAAAGAATTTGCCAATTGCTTTGCATATGACTGACGAGAAGGGTTACGAAACTAACAAACCGCGATTGGTTATTCTCGGAACTGGGTGGGGGGTGAGTTTTGGTCTTTTAATTGGGGGGCTGTGTTATTACTTGAAGAATGTAGGAGGGAGAGCTTTTGACGGCAGGAAAATTGTGTAAGCTTGCAAGAAAACTATATTTGCGTTTCAATTGATGTTTTTGATTTTTCACCAGGCTGTGTCAGTCCTAAAAGAATTGGAAAAAGATCAGTATTGCGTAACGATAATATCGCCAATGTGAGTGTTCAGACTTTTTTTTTTGTGTTTCTTTTTTCTTTATTAATTATGACCTTGCATTTTATCAGAAACTACTTTCTGTTTACGCCACTACTTCCATCAGCTACAGTGGGAACCTTGGAGACAAGGTAAAGTATAATTAATGCGTACTTTTTGAGATGAATTCATTCTCACCCTTAAATAATCAATGTTATATATAGGTCACTTCTTGAGCCGATTAGAAGTATAGCGCGCAAAATCAATGGCCATTTTCTTGAAGCCAAGGCTGTCGATGTTTGTTTTGATGAGAAATTGGTCGAAGTCAAGTCGGTGAACGGCGACGAATCTTCATTCTATGTACCTTACGATAAGGTGATGTGAGACGCCAGGCTGAGCAGCAACGGGCGGATTATCACTACTTGTAATTATTCTTATCGTCACATTCCCGCTATTAATATTCGAGGGCTTGCTGTTTGTCATCTAGTTGATAATTGCCGTTGGATCTCAATCAATTACTCATGGTGTCGAAGGAATCGAACATTGTCATTTCCTAAAGACAATTAACGATGCCCGTGGAATACGAAAAAAGATTATGGATAATTTTGAAAAGGCTTCATTGCCAACCACATCGGCAGCAGATAAAAAGCGATTGTTGAGTTTTGTTGTTTGCGGTGGAGGTAAGTTATTGAAAATTATGCACGTTAAACCAAGTGTGGTAACACATATTAATTAAAACTATCTCGTTTCGATTCGAATGTATAGGACCGACAGGTGAAAAATTACTTGGACAAATGAACTTTTGTGTATTATCGTGAACTAATAAAACTTTTATTATAAATGTAGGGGTCGAATTCGCTGCTGAATTGTATGACTTTTTGACAGAGGATGTTGTAAAATATGTAAGTTTCCCTTTGTGTTGCACTCTTGACGGTACGGTTTCTGCAATGCATGATTTATGTTATTCCTTTTATAGTTTCCCAGAGTTTTACGTGACGAAGTGTCTGTGAGCATTATCCAAAGTCAAGACCACATACTAAACACTTACGATGCTAAAATCAGCCATTATACAGAGGTGAGATGAATAGACTCTGAACGTCTGCTGGCACGCGATGCGATGTGTCGTTACTAATATCTGTAACGGTAAATAGAAAAAATTTGCACGTGACCATATAAATGTAATCACGAATGCTCGAGTCGAGAAAGTGGAACCTGACAAGATTCTTTACAAAATGAAGAAGGATGGTGAAGTGCGCGGACTTCCATTTGGATTGGTTTTATGGTCAACCGGAATTGGTACATATTTTTCTTGTTTCATTGCTCTAAACATTAATGACACTGGCCGTTAACATTAACATTTTCGTTACATCTCTATCTTATTGTTATCAATTTCTATGCATCAAGCAATGAACCCGTTAACAAAAGCAATATCAGAAAAGCTTCCGGAACAAAAGAACACGCGCGCTCTAATCACAGATCAACATTTGCGCTTGAAAGGCGCTCCCATGTCTACTGTCTATGCCATTGGCGATTGTGCGACCGTAGAAAATCCCAAACTTGTGCAACAGTTGGTACAGTTCTTTGTCGATGCGGATACTGACAAGAATGGATGTCTGGATTATAAAGAGTTTGACA